CTTTTTGTTATTGTTAATTTAATTAATTTCATTGATTAAGTTTCTCATGTATCAACATTTATTCGCTAATAAACTCGCCTTCCTTCCTTTGCGAATAAACTTCAATGTCCTCGTTGACAGCTCCGAGCAATTACTAATAGAGGGAGCGTGAAAACGAGTTTGTAGGCGATTGTTGCGTTAGCAACATCTGTAGAGGAAGTGAGGAAGCGGGCGCAAGGGGGAAGGTAAACATCCTTCTTGTTCAGTGGCGTATCATTTATCTATAAAAACACACATTGTCCTAACGTTTTAATTGTAAAAAAAAACTAAAAAATTTGCTAATTTTACTATTTTTTAAAAGAATACCGTCTTATATGTGTCTAATGTAGGAAATGAAACAAAATCACTGTAAAGGTCTAATTTTTTCAATTCAAGAATAAAACCTTAAAATCAATTTTATTATAAATAAATACAGGAGCAACTAGTTTCGGCCTTACAGGAACATCTTCAGGCCTGTAATACAATATTCTTTAATTATTATAATAGGTTGGTCACTTACGAATAATATTAAGTAGTATAAACCACAAAAATGGATCCATATTGTAGCGTTACAGCATTATAGAATTAAAGCTGTGAAAATAAAAGGGCAGTGCAAACACAACTAAAAATAAGAAAACTGAGTACGGAATCTACAAGAGAAAAGGTGAGAATGAGCAATTACAAATACATTTAAATTGCTCGGGATAAGAAATAAAGCTGTGATAATGTAAAGTAGTGGTATAGTCTCCGTCAAAGAAGGTCTGGATATGTTAAAGAGGACGGCGTTTTCTCTGTAAATCTGGAGAATGTAAGGATGGAGGAAAGACCAATTTTGCTGGCTCAGGTGTAGATGGCTAAAAAAAGGAGCGTGTAGATGAAAGCTCCAGTAAATATCGTCACTTTCGTCTAATTTTTAATTCTCACTCATCGTTTCGGCTTTATCTTTAAAATTCATTTTTAAAAGGAAATAAAAGTAATCATTCATACAAGCATAATATAATAAAACAACATGACTTCATTATATTTAATAAGCTAATAAACGTTTGTTTCAATGAAAAAAACATATATGTGAATAAAAAAAATATATAAATAGATAAGATTAATATCAAAATCAATTTGAAAATACAACAGATAATAAAATGAAATAAATTAATACAAGTAGGTACACATAGAAAGTTAATAACATACCATCTAAAAGTAACACATTTTAAGTAGATAAATGTTTAAAGTGTTTATTCCTGAACATAACTAATCTAACGTTTTTCCCCTTTTTAATATTATGAGAGTTTTTGTAAATGAAATGAAAATTATAATTTATTTTGATCCTAATAAAAATTTAAACAAAGAGTAAAATACATAATAAAACTTCATAATCTTAAATCGTTATCAAAAATTATTAATGGTAAAACTTCAAATAATAATTAGATTCTTAAACAAATTTCTAGTTTTTGTTTTGCAAAAGACTTTTTTGCCTTCTTCGGTTGCCTCTGCCACTTTTCTTTCAGTAGTTTCGAGGAGAATTTTCCTATGAAAACCAGTAGAACCATCAATTGGTCGATAAAATTTTGATATTTTGGGTCTGGTAAGTCTTGTTAAACTTTCTTCTTAGGAAGTTGTAACCTTATGGAGAATAAAAATTTAATGTTAGATCAAAAGCTCTTAATTGAGAATTATATTTGCAAAGGCCGTTTTAATAATATTTTCAAAAGTTCTTGGAATCGTTGTTAACCGAAACCTGCAAAAAAATATATCATTTTATTCCTAAAATATAAGATATCACACAATGAACATTCATATAACATCATTGCGCTAGAAAAATACTAGGTAGGTACTGAGACAATTTAAAAAAAGTATTTCGAGAAACTCAACTTTTAATGTCATCATTGTACTTAACTATTTTATTGCTAAATTATTAATAATGTCATTTTGTGTAGGTCGTTGTGATTTGTATAATATATATTATAAAAACCTATCGTCAATGTTAATGTGCCAAGTTTTTTTATTAATTATGTCCTTGTTATAGTAAAAGCACATTTAAACACATTTTTGAAGTTTTCTGGATTTCTGCTTTAAATTATCGTACAATTGAACTGACTAATTGTGTGTTTAAGTAAAGGTATATATCTTTTTTGTTATAACAGTCTTTGTATATTGTTCTAACTTTTTAGATAATCAGAGAAAACAGTAAGACATCTTAATATATCCTATTTTACCAAACAAAAATGTAGAATAATTAATCTCACATCAAACGAAAAAAGTCATTTTAGGATGTCCTAATAGGTTTTAACTTAAAAACTAAATAAAATGTATATTGCAACTGTGTTTAAATAAATGAATGTTTTTATACCTGACTATAGCACTAGACAAACATTTTTTTAGATCATAATGATCTGCATAACTCAAAATAGTCAAAATCCACATTATTTAAGTTATTCTAGTATTGTTTTAGCATAACGATGTAAACTCCAATAATAAATATTCACATTTTTTGGGACGTTTTTAAGGAAATTAAAAAAAACATGAATAATGTGATATTCTTGTTTAGTTTTGTACTATATAATATAGTTCATTAGGTAGTGATTTAGAAGCAAATTATGTTCTATTTATAGAATAAAAAATCACTCATAATATCTAAATATTTATACCTATTTATATTTTGGACAGGAAGACTCTTTTATGTTTTTGGCTCTGAATAGTTTTCTTAAGAATTTTAAAACCTTCCTTAGCTCTCTTGGGATATTCTTAGAAGTTCATTTTGTTTAAACCTAAAACAAATTAAGTACAAAAAATGAAAATTTAAACAATACACAAAATTAGTCTTTTAGATTAGTTAAAAAAAAGTGTCAACAAAAAAATGGCTATGCCTTTTTCCTTAAACATTCTTTTTGAAAGAAACTTAAGTTTCTCTACTTACTTGCTGTTTTAGTATTTTAGTAGCAGATGAATATAGTGTAGAAGTAGTGACAGGATTGATTATTATACTTCTTTCGTCGAAATTGCATTTTTCCTTAATATTTTCCTCCCCTGAGGGAATTCTTAAATTTTGGAACCCTGTATCGTTTTTGTGGCCTCTCCTTAATTTTGCCTTTATGAAAACCAAATATTTATCACCTTTTTTATTTGATTTTCGCAATAATGTTAGATAAACATTGTGTTTTTAGTAACTGGGTATCTTTTCTTCAACGTCTTTTCTATGCCAAAGGTAAAATAAAGTATTTCAGAGAACAATATAAAAAAATATCTGGTTTTCCACTAGTTGACAAGCATGGCCATTCATATAATGAAATCAGTACCATTTTAACAACATTGACATTCAATGTACTAAATAAAGTATATTCAAATATTCTGATATGGTTCTCAGAAGTCAATCGCAGTTTTCCTGTAGGCGCACGTACTCACAGATATTTTTTTTTGTTTTTCGGAATTAGACTGGAAACGTGGAGAAAGATTTTTAAAAGTGGCGTGAAGAAAATATTTCTTTGGCACGAATACATGAATGGTGTATACTTGTATATTTCTACATGTTTTTTTATAAATTAAATAAATATTGTAAAATAATTTCCGTGTCCTCTATTTTTTTTTCGTCGCTTTGTTAATCAGCCATGTACTACTTGTTAAAATTATCTTATAGATACAGATCTTTGTTTCGTGATACAAAAACCGTAAATTAGAAAGTTTAATTTATTTTGATCGAATAAATAGTTGAACCTACCCCTTAGTTCCATTATCTGGGTTCTTAATAGATTTTATCCCCCTTTTTGGTTCCCCCACTGCTTACAATTTAACGAAAAAACATTTTTCCATTTTATTTATAAAAACAACTAACACTTTAAGAAAGTAATTTTATTTCAGCATCAGATTTTTCTTTTGTGTTCGAATTTTCAACATCAGGTCTCACTGGACTGTTATTCCAAGGCTGAGCTTCTCCTGATGCAAAGACCAGATAAAAACAAGTAGAAAACACGTACAGACAAATAGCCGTGAAGAAGACTGTCCTCCACAAGCTTATGTCGCTCTAAAATGAAAAAGAAAAATATAAATCTGTTAGAATTTTCTCACCGTAGCAATTAAATATGAGGATGCTTATTAAAAAAAACTTTTTTCTACGATCATTATCCAAAGTAGGCTTTGCGCTTAGAAATATAACCGTAAAGTAGACATTAAGTGACAGCTTTGTTACTCACCTAATTTAAATATAATATTTATTTTTAAGATAATTGTACGTAGTTTGATGTTATTTGTTTTTCATAATTCACGTAGATATAGGCAACATATTATATACACTACTTTCAGTTTTTATATCTATTTCTTAAAATAATGTGATCATAGAAAAAATCTTGTGTGCATTTTCAACGAAAAGTTCGTTGCCGCTTTTGACAGATTGCCGTGCTTCGCTACGCGTCGCGCGGCCCACTTTCTGTCTCAAGCAGCAAAGTATCACTTTTCTGGCATTTATGAATATTTCAATAACATAACACAGAGTGGGCATCCAAAAGTTTTCCACTTAGTTTTTTTTGTATAATGCAAAAAAACGTTTGTACAGGTTAATTGTAGTGTAGAAGAGGACACTTTTTAAGCTATTTCATAGCTTGTATCGCGGGCTTTGAGCGCGGCGACCAAATAAAAAAAAAAACGAAACCGTAACGAAAAAAACCTAACACCCCCCCACTCCGACCGGCACAGCGGTGCGGTGTTAAACAATATTAACTTTATTCAATAAAAGAAAATCGAAAAATCGAAAAATCGAAAAATAAAAAAATCGAAAAATCGAAAAATCGAAAAATCGAAAAATCGAAAAATCGAAAAATCGAAAAATCGAAAAATCGAAAAATCGAAAAATCGAAAAATCGAAAAATCGAAAAATCGAAAAATCGAAAAATCGAAAAATCGAAAAATCGAAAATCGAAAAATCGAAAAATCGAAAAATCGAAAAATCGAAAAATCGAAAAATCGAAAAATCGAAAAATCGAAAAATCGAATTGATGTATACGTGTATTATTTGATATGCCAAAATTACAAAATATCGACCTAAAATTAACGAATTATCCGCAGCTAGCGCTGGTATCGCTTTGGCTTCCCCTACCATGACTTCGCACTGAGCGAATATAAATGTATTATGTTGTATTTTAAATAATGTTTAAAATACCTATTCACCAAAGATGTGGTTGGTTAGTCCAATTCCTTTGAACTTTGGGTTCCAACAAGTACAAGTCGCTAATGAAACAACGGGCGAATAAATGGACTGACAGTGGTTTGTTTACTAATGCATCCATGTACGAGTCAGAGACTCATCAGAATGAAGCTGTTGGAACAAACCTACAGACCAAGTTATGTTAGATTTTATTTTGTCGATTATTGTTGTCCAGGTAAGGTCTCATGATATGATTTATTAATAAATGATATTTTGTGTATGACTTACTTCATCGTAAACAATATACTGGATAGCCATCGGTGTGATGAACGAAAAACATTCAGCGCATGTGTTTATTATTCCCATGACGGCTGCTGCGAAATTTGGTGCATAATCTAGATGGTTTATGTTAAATCCACCTGCGTTTATGGAACGTAATACATTTGCTGCTATCATTATCACCACACATAGAATCTTACTATCATTGGGTATGTAAACAAAAATAAGCATTAAAGCTGCGCATCCAAATGATCCTAAAAATATATTTTATTAAAACTAGAATTGAGTATTTTTTGTATGGATGACATTGTCTTTATATGCATAAAAATATATATGTGTTATCTTGTGATGAGTAAGTTAAGAAGCTTGCATTAGGTAATGGAAAATATGTGATAATATAAAGAACATAACAGCAATCGATTTTTTGAACATCAAAGTGGATGCAGTTTTTTATGTCACGCATAGCAAGAATTGTATGACTTACCTATGCTAGACATTAGCTTTCGCGTATTAGTAAGAGTCAAACAATCGTGCTTTATCAAATAATCCGTGACAATTGCAGTAGCGTTAATGGCTAACAGAACAAAAATAGGTGGAAGGGCAGAGATTACACCATTCTGAAAAGAATAATATTTCATAAGAAAATATGATTAAAAGCGGTTAACGAAGGCAAATTCTTTCCATATTATTGATACGTTTTCGAATCGAATCGAATCTAATTTAATCGAATCGAACAGATAGACAAGAATAGAATTATTATACAGACGAAGTCTTTTCATAAGTTTATTATTTACATATCCTTGTTTATTTTTCACGGAGTATGACATAGAACTTTGTTTAATCAAAATTCTGATTATTGACTTTTGTTCGTTTCTATGCCAACTGGTATGTATATATACAGTGAGCACCATAAGTCTTACCCCCCTATCTAACTCGTTACTGGAGTCTTGTTAGGAAAATCGCCGAGACAGGTCGATTTTTGATTTCTACAATGTACATTTTTGTATGAATAGTTTACCCTTAATTTCATCCCTTACTGGAGGAGAGCAACCCTTTCGAAAAATTTAAATGGCATGTGGTGGTGAGTAATAGCTTATTTAAAAGAGGGTTTTATTCTCTATTCAACCGTGTGAAAAAATTTGAAATTTGCTTCATTAATTCTCGACTAATTGTTGTTTCAGAATAACGGAAATTAACGTAGCGCACTCATCCTTAGAATTAAAATTCGGTCCTGCATGACTTCGGTTTTGGTTCAGACGTGAAGTAAGACTTTTTGCCATTAGAAGGTCACTGTTAGTCTAGTTGCTTTCCTATTTTGTGAGGTTTTGTTATTTTTAAACATTAATAAATCAACATGTAATGATGCAAATTTCAAATTTTTTTTGGACGGTTAAATACAGAATAAAACCCCCTTTCAAATGAGCTATCACTCACCACCATATGCTATTTAAATTTTTCGAAAGGGTTTTTACCCTCCAGTAAGGGATGAAATTAAGGGTTAACTAATCATGCAAAAATGTACATTGTAGAAATTAAAAATCGACCTGTCTCGGCGATTTTCCTAACAAGACCCCAGTAACGAGTTAGTTAGGGGGGTAAGACTTAAGATGCTCACTGTATATATAGGTTCTTTTTTTCATTCACTATAATGATATATTTACCGATTTTATGTCAAATTTCATAACTTTGTCCATGTAAATGGGCATTTCCGTTGTAAATATGCTGTACCCCCAACCACTGCATAAAGCCATAATAAGCTGCGCCCAAAATGGCGATGAAGTGAACATTGCACGATATGGTATAGACACGTTCTAAAAAAATAATCAATTATATCTGAGGTTTAAAAAGTTTAATATCAAATGGTCAGCTATGCTGCAGAAGTAAAGGAAGGTCCAAACTACATAATATGTTTGTGACATGTTGAAATGAATTTTTATATTTATATTTGAATAAATAACAATAAATTACATAAATATCCTGCGACTTCAAAGATATCTGTAGATAATTTTGTTCGGCCTCTGTTATAGTCTTATGTGTAGCTGGACTTGTAGCTCCAAAGAAATAATACATAATCACCCATAAAAAGCCCAATGATGGTAATAAATAAAAGGTTAGAGGCCAGCCTGCCCATGATGCGCAAATAAATCCTGTTGTTCCTGTACCTACTGCTATACCAAGCATATAACCTAAAATAAAAAACAATACTGTGTTCAAATATTAAAATTCTGTAAGACTTGAGATAATTTGCAAACATTGTCGTTTAGAATAGTAGAGACTATGAAGTATGAGATTATATAATGAAAATGATAGGAAAGACGTTACAGACTTCATAAGAAGGATTAAAAAATTAAAATGGATCTGGAGTAAATTACTGAATTTAACACCACTTGGTTCTTTGGCAAGAAACTAAATAGTTAGGATGCAACCCTATGTTCAGTATTGGACCTAAAAAAAGTTTTGATGGAAATGAAAACCAAACTCAAACACCTTAAAAGATCAAAATTCAAAGTAAATGTGAATTTTCACCAGAAAAATCTTACCATTTGTTTTATATAAAAAATTCCCGATCTGTCTGTTGTAACGGTTGGAACCGTTTTCGTTATTTTAACACGAACATCTCTTCTCAAATGTCATTTGTCGTTTATGCCTTGCGTCAAAAGTTGGTATTTCATTTTCGATTTGTATCTGTTAACGAATAAGTTGATTTAAATTTGAAATTATCTTGGACATCCGATGTACTTTTAATATTCTTATTGGCCGTCTGATTTTATAAGCCTGGCTATATCTAGACGGTTTATTTCGAGTTATATTAAGAAGTTTAGTTCATGCTGTTTCTTAGAAGTTTAGTTCAAGCTGTATTTAAGAAGTTTAGTACGAATTATATCTAAAGAAGTTTATTTTAAGTCCTATCTAAGAAGTTTATATCAATTTTATATCAAGAAGTTGAAGATTTATACCTAAGAGTTTGGTGCTATCCGAAGAATATCGTTCAAGTCCCTTTGAAGAAGGCCTAAAAATTACTCCTTATATTCTACCTCCTGTTACAACAGATAAGTTTTATGCAATAAACCATCTGAATTTGAATTAGTAAATCTCTGTGAATTAGAATTTGTTACTGCCTTATCTAAAACTTTGTTTAAATATATTATCTTAATGGTTAGTGATTTTCTATATTTTTATTATTAATCGATAGTCAAGTATAATAAGTTTTAAATATAGTGGTGCCCAACTTTTTTTTCAAGGTAATACGAGTTATTTAATAACCTGACCCACTCCAAAAATCAATTGAGCTTAAAACACTATAACAAATAGTTAAAATAACAAGTATCAGGTAACACTGTCAAAAAATGGATAATAATGAAGAATCACATATAAGTCTATACTCTAAGGTTAGAAGTTTTTGAAAAAATGTTTGTTAAATTTTACCTGTACTTAGAAAAGCATAAACCCTAGATCGCTCGTTAGGCGGTGCCCATTTTCCAATACCTCCATGTACGCAAGGTACCACTAATCCTTGTGCAAATCCTTGTAGTAGCCTGCAAGCCATAACCCCTTGGGAACCAAAATGTTCGGCTATAGTCGGAATTAAGAACATGCACAGAGAATTCATAAAAAGTGCTATTAAAAGAAAGGGCTTGGTGCCGAACTTGGTACTTAAAATACCGATTGCTATTTGGGGCAATGTATAACCCCAGAAGAACATGGAAAGGATTAGGCTCTTGTTTTTCCAGTTATAATACTAAAATATGAAACTTTTATTAAATTATAATGGGAAAGTGCTATAGAATACAATGATTTTGAAAATATCGATGATATCAAATCAAATTTTAATATTAATATTATAAATTAGTTTAATACTTAAGTGCACCGAATATTATCGCGTCCAGTAAAATAATAAAATATCATTATTAAAATAAGTTAAATAAATTGTTATATTTTAAATAAACCTTAGAACAAAATTAATTATCTCTAATAGAAAATCTTCAATAATCTTTTAAATAAAAATATTTCCATAAATAAATTAGTATACATTTAAAAATAATATTAACGTTTAATTATTAGCATTAATTGGGTCGAAGTGAAGAATCAGCAAATAAATTCAACATTGATTATTGTTACGTGACATTTCTTCTTTATCTGTTCTGAGAGGTATCTGATCCAAAGGTACATTTTAGTTTTAGAGAAAACGTCGTGACGTGCCAGGGGAAATGTTTTGGTGCGTATAATTATCTCCTTTTTATTTTTAACCGATTTCAAAAAAGGAGGAGGTTCTCAATTCGTCCCAATATTTTTTTTTATGTATGTTCAGCGATAATTCTTTAACACGGTGTCCGATTTCAATGAATCATTTTTTGTTAGAAAGGGGGTACTTCAGGGATGTTCCCATATAAATTTGGTTAAAACCCAATAATTGGGTCCATGAGAAAATCCTCAAACTCTTCATTTTTTATGTATGTTTAGCGATAATGCTTTACCACCTTGTCCGATTTATATGATTCTTTTTTTGTTACCTCAGGGGTGGTCCCATATAAATTTGGTTAAGATGTGGTGATGGCATCTGTACGTTTTTGAAGTTGTTTTTTTTTTTTAATTTTTAATTTCTTATACTTGTTATGACTATTGATTATTTATTGATTAATAAAATTCTTTTGTTTTAATTGGAGTTTTTTTCTTAAATATATCCCGAAATATAATAAATAACTATTTCTACTTATAGAAAAGGGGTTGAGACAATATTAACTTAAGAAAAAAAGTTTAATTTATTTTTATGATCATAAAACTCATTTATCTGGGTTTTCGAAAACGTTTAATTTAAAAGAATAATGTCTTACTGGTATATCAGGATTTGGTGAATAATTTTCTGTCATTGCAACCAACGATACGGAAAATCCAAATCTGGTAGAATACACTAAAAATCCAAGAAGAGCCAGAAATAGAAATTGTATATGCCTGGCACCAATGGTTGGACCTAAAAAATATTGTAATATTACTTATTTGTTGACTGAATTTTGTTATTAGTAAGTAATAAAACAATAATGTTTTGTCACTGTGATACCCATGGACTAGCATGACAATGAACCAAACTTCTTTAAATACACTTTACAGAGTCTTCGGCAATACCTGTATCTCATGTGACAAAATTAATGTCATCAGTTAGCTAAAAGTAACATTAATAACTTCAGTATACTAATCCTAAAACAATGTTACCGAACTAATTTAAGTTGTCTGAAAAGTCATTAAGAACGGTAATTTTCATTAAATTTCTTGGTTTACTATATTACTTAGAATACGGGTATTGTTGAAGATCCGTTATAATAAGCTAACAAGTTGGTATCGTTGGATAGGTAATTCTACAATAAGTTAGATTACGTCCAAATGCATGGGATGCTTTCATCGCCTTCCATTACGATCCCGATCCAGATGGATGTATTGTAACCATCGGGTTAGTAGAGAAAGAAGATAATATACTATACATCTGTTCAAAAATAATGTGGTACTAGTAAACTGATATTAGGATGGTAACAATATGGCATCTTAAGTAGGTTTAACGTGGTCGCAGTAATTTTAATATTTATAAATCAATGAATACTTACGGGATATATTAAATACAAATAAAATTTGAAGATGTTCATATAAGCAGTTAGGAAATACACAATTACAGATAACATTTAAAACGTATTTTTCGAGTACAAAATTAATAAAATAGATATATCATATAACTAATAAAAAAATATCCTTAAAACATTAACAAAAATGTATTGAATAAGACATAAAGTGTAAATGCTAAGTATTCTCAACTAAGTATACAGGTTGTTTCAAAAAATATATGACATCGCTTGTGGGGTGATTTCTTACCCAAAAATAAGATAAATAGTTTCTATAAACATAGCTCCGCAGATGCTTTGTTTCAAATATGTAGGATGTTTTAATTTTACAATCAGTAAAACAAATAAAGAAGAAAATTAAGAAAACAATCAACAGTATCAAAAATCTTAACAAGTCAATAAGGATGACAAAAGCATACTCGATTTTTTTTATGGTTTTATTTTTAGCCTAATATTTAACATAGTTTGATAAAGTTATATCTCCTAAACAAAGTAAACAGTGCTTTTTGTTATAGTCTTTTAAATATCTAACTAATAATGCTATCAAAAAATGAAAAAGTCAGTGACTTGCATATTTTTGTTAATATTTTTTAGGGCGCTCGTTCCCATGAGCGCTCATGTTAAACCTTATTGCTAAATTATTTGCTTGTTAGGTACTTTGTTCAACCAAAATTTTATTCCAATCATTAAAGCCGTATCGGAAATATTTAGGAAGACCTAAAAAAATAAAGATAATTCCTTTGGAAGTGCTCTTTGCAATATCCAGAAATGGTTCTGGTTCTATCAACACAGATTTAATTAGTCTTATAGCAAGCGCATCAGCTTTTTTATTGCCTTTCACACTGCTGCGTCCCGAAACTAGTAACTTTCTTCCGGGCACCGTGACACCCTAGAGTATTTATACAACTCCCAACCATCTCTGAGTCAATTTTATTGAATCTCAGGACTTTAAGCGCTGCCTGGCTACGCGAATGGATCCTTATAGTTTTGTTAGTGGGGAAAAATTATTTAACTCTCCCTCCCAATTATATATCGATCATTACTAGAATACTTAGGTTTATTGACATACTAACTCTTGGCTTCTGGCTTAAAACTCCTGCTTCTTCTCCTTTAAGAGCTTTGTAGCCGTCTGTGTATAGTCCGCCTGGGAAAGATTATTATCCCTTACCCCATACACCTCTTTTTTAGAGTAAGGATGCTTTATGATTTTTCTATGTTTTGCCGAGGAACTAGCGAGTCTAAAACCATTGTAAGGATATTGTTGGTTATAAACGTTACTCATCAATTCGTTTTTTTTATAGCAGGTTTTCATTGCACTGACTAGCCAGTGTCAGAAGTCAATAGGACCATTCTAGCCTCTCATTCCAGTAAAATGTGGAGAGGGGTTAGATTCCATGGCTCTTGTTGGTATTGTTGACATTGTCCCAGTGATAGCAACGCACGCAAGCTGATGGACTCTAGCCCCAGCTATGCTCTAAACCTTCCGTTGAAATCCCTTGTCCCACCAGACGATCGAGTCGTACGTAACCATGGAATTTACCACGGTTTGATAAATCTAGTAGATCAGTTGATTACTGATACCCATGCTTTGCCGCATATCTTTCTAAGAGTCCAGAAGAATAATCTGACTTTATAGATGGTTTGTACAATTGCAGGTTCCAGGTGAGTTTCTTCTTGTACCAACTGTTGATTCTAATTAGAGCTTCTTTAAAGGACATTGGAAATTAGTTTTTATTACTTTCCCCTAATTATGATCATCTGTGTAGCAGTGAAAATGTATCTCCTGTCGAAAGAGATCGTTTAGCAGGTTACACACGTTACAGTAAGGGTAAAAGTACACTACCTTGTGGACATCCTCTGGCAAGCCTGAAGGTAATAAGAGTTCCTGTCCTCTATATAGAAGGACAGGAAATATGCCATTCCTTCCTGGTGATTTGAAATTAACTTGTACAACGTAGTTCCAGTCCTTCTTGTTGAATCGTGTAATCGATTCCGAGGCAGGAATGAGTACGGGTTGCGTGCCCTCCAGAATTTGATTCCCTGGGAAGTATTTCTGTAAATGAATCTCTAACGTGTCCTTACCAGAGTCCGAAAATAATATACAAGAGATTGCATTTGAAAAAATTGAGTACATTAGTTTTAGCTTAATGTTATATAGTTATTTTTACAGCTTTCATTTTTTTTAGTATCTTTTAACGTTTATACAAAATAAAACGCTTTTTGCACATCAATGTAATAATTGTAACTTGAAAGATGAAACTTAGAAATAACTTTACTAACCTTTATTGACTTTTTCGACCTTAGCCATTACAGGTTTTTCCATTTTAATTTATCGGATTAATCAAATGTAGAGTTTTAGTGCAATGGGAAAACAGTCGAATTCGCTTCATTTGTTTTTTAAAACTCATTTATTAAATCTAGAATTAATTGCGATATGAGAATAAGTTTCAGTTTTAAAGCCATTCTGATTATTTTGAATTGTATTATTTAATATAATTACATATTTGCTCTGATTTTAGATAAAAGTTTGTATTATATACATAGAGAGTATTGTTTCATACATAAATATTTATTCAAAGTAAAAGAATCATAATTATTATAACTATTATTTTTATTAAAAGGCAATTCGCTATTTATTTAGTTCTCATATAATATAATTATTTACGGTTAATTTGTTTTATAGATATAAAACTATTAATTTTTATTTTGGAATTTTGAAAATGTAATAATTATGTCCTAACATTTTGTTTGCTGTAACAATATAATGTGTCAAATGAGATTATTGCCGATTTAAATTTTTTAGTTTAAAGGGTAGAAGGAGATGTGTGATTTATGACTACAGCCCGTATAACAGAATATATAGTCGAGTCTCTAATAAAGGATCCCTATTATTTCATGTATTGGTAACAGGTAGGTGGTTAGATTAAACAAATATGATTCCAAGAAACCTTTGATATCTACAGGGAGATTCAAAATATCGGACAAAAATAAAAATTAATTCATGCTTGTCCGATATTTTGAATCTCCTTGTAGATATCAAAGGTTACTTAGCACCATTTTAAAGAGCATAAAATTAAGTAACTTATGTTTAATTTAACCTACTTTCTGTATATTTTATTGTTCAAGACATATTTAAAAATATTAGATTATTGGGACAATATTTAATGGATAACATTTTTGTAAAAAAGTTTTTTTCTTTCAGTTGAGAGTCATGCAAATATTCTGAATTCTGAGAGCAGTTAAACCATTTTGAGGATTTTGGTCCCAATTTTACACCTATTTGAATGTTAGGGGAAGGAGGGGTAATCGCAAACAGCGGGCAATGGCGAACACATCACTATCTGGGCTCACGGCGACCCTGTACCATTTAAACCAGTAGCATTAGTAAGTGGGAGTGCGTATCACGTGCTTACAGCGACAGAGGAGTCAGTTGAAGTTACGATCTTGAGTTGGTAGGTCATAAAAGTTTTCATTGTTTTTTGATACAAGGTATTAGTGCGGTAAATGAGACGGTAAGTTTTGGTTAAAATGGTTTTTCTTTTAATTAGTTATATTGGTAGATTCTTGAACTTTCTCTTCATGATATGCTGTAATTTGCATTCTTCTATCAAAAGTATTAATATATTTTATTTTAATAATTAATAAATGAAAACCCGTGGGGTAAAGGCGAACAAGCTGTTCGGCATTACCCCACGATTGTTCGCTATTACCCAACATGTAAACTAATGGTAACTTTTTGATATTATTTCAGATGCCTCGCAACAGAGAGAGATCTACCAACAAAGCAAAATGGAGCAGTCAAGCTATTAAAAATGCTTTAGATACTATTGAAAGCGGACAAAAACTTCGTGAAGTATCCAGAACTTTTGGTATTCCCTTGACTACACTTCACGACAGATATAAATCAAGGAAAATAGAAGCACCTCGAATGGGACGAAAACCATTGTTTACGGCCAATCAAGAAACTGAAATGAAAGAACATGTTTTAAAAATGGCCAAGTTATTTTATGGTATCACGCCCCTTGAACTTAGACGGCTAGCATTTGAATTTGCAGAAAAAAACAGAATTGCACATCCTTTTCGAAAAGAAAGTCGTCAAGCAGGAAAAGATTGGCTAGCTGGATTTCTTAGAAGAAATAATGAGCTCAGCTTAAGAAAACTAGAAGCCACAAGTATTAACAGAATACTGGCGTTTAGTAAACCGGAAGTGAAAAGATTTTATTCCAATATCGCAACATTATTGGATACACACCAATTCGATCCTTCACAAATTTTTAATGTTGATGAGACTGGTATCACAACTGTACATAAGCCAGGACGTATTGTTGGACCTAAGGGTCAAAAACAAGTTGGGGCTGCAACTAGCTGGGAGAGAGGAAAAATGTAACTCTTTGCTGTGCAATGAGTGCAATAGGAACATTTGTACCGCCTATGTTTATATTTCCTCGTGTACGTATGCACCCTTCACTTTCAAAAGGTGGTCCAGCTGGTTCAATATATAATTGCTGTAAATCTGACTGGATGACTGAAGAACTATTTCAGATATGGATTGAACATTTTGTCAAGTTTACAAATGCATCACCTTTAAATCCCAAGCTTTTTGTCCTTGATAACCATAGAAGCCACACGTCTCTAACGACGTACACATACTGTAGAGATTATGGAGTTTTTATGGTTTCAATTCCTCCCCACACATCACACCGGCTACAGCCGCTAGATGTAACTTTTTTTGGTCCTTTCAAAAAGGCCTTTAATAAAGAGTGTGATAAATATGTAAAGAGCCATCCGCACGAGAAACTTGTTCCATCTGATCTTCCGGCACTAGTCAACACCGCCTACTTGCATACAGCTAGTATGGAAAAGGGTGTTTCTGGCTTTAAATTAACGGGCATTTTCCCTTTCAATCCCGATGTCTTTTCACAAGATGATTTTGAACCAGCAGCACAACTTACGCCAGTGTTTGATGATGAAAGCCAAGCCGAAGAACATACAGAGGCACCATTACAACCTACATTACCACCGAGAACTCCACCTGATTCTGCCATTGCACAACTTGCATCACCAATACCTTTTTCTTCGACCTCATTTCAAGACATTGCTCCACTCCCAGGACCGTCAAAAACGCTTTCTATCAGAAAAGGCAGAAAAAAGCAACATTCGGAAATTTTAACCTCAACTCCAAAGAAAGCAGTTCTAGAAGAGATTCAAAATAGAAAATTAATAAAGAGGCAAAAAATGGTATCAAATAAAAAGGGAAAAAAACAGAAGCAAGTTCGACGTAGAGTAAAGGAATCCTCATCCGATGACAGCGATGATAATGACGAGAATCTATGTCAAGATGACGAACTAGATGATCTAGAACCGCTGGAGGCATATGACAAAGAATGTAATATTTGCATGGAGTTCGGGAAAGACAATGAATTGTGGTATCGTTGTATATCCTGTGCAGCATGGTCCCACGCCGATTGCAGTGGAGCTGAGACAGCTAAGGGATACACCTGTGATTATTGTTTGTGAACCATATATATATTTATATATCTGTCTGACGCGTTTATTTTTATTTTTGTTTTGTTCGGCATTACCCGCCTTGTGTTTGCTTTATATTTATTTTGTTCGGCATTACCCCCTATTAGAGGGCAATGCCGAAAAGTACATGAGTTTGTTTTTTGATTAATAATAAAAAAAATGTTTACAATAGAATATTTCTTAGGTAACACCCTTCTATATAATAATCACCCAAAAACTGTAGTAAAACGAATTAACGTATACTTAAAGTACGTCGAAGTTACAGCAGTTTTCCCTTAAGTGTTCGTCATTTCCCCTCCTCCCCAATTTTTTACATACCAACCCTTTCGCGGCCACAAAAAATGCTTGCAATATCATCTTACTTTCATAAAAACCGCTGTTAAGCTATTTCCCAAATTTCGTTGAAAAACACAAATATTCGGTCACGTGATCAAAATCCCTAAACCGGACGTCAGAAAATGCTTTTAAAAGGATTGTTTTTGTTGTTATTGTTGGAGATGTCTAGAAGCATATTATTTTACTGACAGCAAAAACTAAAAATCCATTAATAAGCAACTTTACTTTGAATTTTACCGCTTACACGATTGCTTCCACTACCCGGATATAGTTCATGTTGTTCCCGCCCTTTCCTGTGTCCAATTACAAATAGATGACATGCCACTTTTTGTAGTTTGATGAAGGACTAAAATAGTAGCGGTTGGACTAAAATATTTTAGAAATGATACAAATTATTCTTACATTTTAAACTAAGGGATTGAATAAAAAAGTAATGCTATTTCACTGAAAAGAAAATATTTTCTGAAAATGAATACTATTCCAAAGAGTTTCTTCTGAAAATTACCAAAGAGGATGGCGAAAACCAAAAGCAGTTTGTCAAGCCAAATTTAATAAAAGGAAACAACTGACAAAATTATCAAATTCAAAGATTAAAGGTGACAAAAATATATTCTTGGTGTCTGAAGTTTAAAAACAACATTAAACTGGAAACCATTACAAGAGATAATTATTTTTGTGTCCCACCTCCTTTCCGAATTTGTGGATTCACGATTAGCGATAGGCATGTCAATTAGGGGGTCAAGGTATATCTTAAAAGCAATAGATAATAAATAATAGAAAACACCGAATTTTAATTGAATAAAATTAATTAATACAATAATAAAAATAAAAAATTAATACGAAAATTTAATTAATATATTCAAACCATTGACGTTATATACTGTGGACGCGCCTATACCAGCTGGCGACATACAGCTCTTTGCATCCAACATTAGAAAGAGAGGCCTGCGAGAGAGAGGGAGTTAGTCCGGGTAGAACACCACGCGTTTAAATGAAATTTAGATAGAATTTTTTACAAACGGGCATGTATTTTCGAGTATTTAATTTAATTTGCTTTTGGGGTCTTGAAGAACTAATAAGAAATGTATTATAAATATATTTGCCTTAGATTAACATTAAAATTAGGTATTTAAAAAAGTATTAAGTATGATTTTATCCGTTTTTTTTTTAATTTTTTGTTTCTACTGTACCTAATGGGTGGGTAAATAATAAAAACACTGTCTCTGTATAAAAATTATTAATCATTGTAAAAACTAATTTAACAAAAATGAAATAAAATAAACATAATAACATTTAATTATTAGGTACTATTGGTGACTAAATGTAATTGTCTTTGTGAGATGTTGCCTAATTCTTGTGCTAGGTTCATTCTTAGTTGAATTATTGTAAAATAGTTTTTTAAAATAAGTTTAATTAACTGCAAAAAATGGCTCTGTAAGGGATCTTCCTCTTTAAAATGATTTTCTAAACTAACAAATAACGCATTATTAAGTTTCCTTATTGATAAGGATATCAACCTTATCATAATATTTTAAGATAAAAAGTTTGTTTCTCATTTAATTAAACCCTCAGTGATCAGACACACTGTAACTACGTC